TAAAACGCTTCTTAGTTGATACTTTACGTTTAAAATTAGTTTATGTTTATTGGCTTAATGTTTAGTAGTTTTGTTGAATTGTGGTACTTATATTAGTTTTATGTTTAGTAGCTTGAATTAGCTTAATGAATTGTGTTCTTTATATTAGTTTCATGTTTAATAGTTTGAATTAGTTTAATAAATTAGTTGATGTTGAATGTTGAATGTTAAATTGCTAGCTGCGCAGGATTTGAAAATTGATACAGGTTGGGTAGAAAACATAAAACGCATATAAATAATAAAAAAAATAATAATAACATACGGCGTCGGTTTTTAGGTAAAAGCCGACGCCGTATGTTATTATTTTTTTTTTAAAAAATAAATATATACGGCGTCGGCTTTTACCTAAAAACCGACGCCGTAGGTTAATTATTATTTTTTAAAAAAATAATAAATATATACGGCTTCGGCTTTTACCTAAAAGCCGACGTCGTATGTAAATTATTTTAAAATATATATATATATATATATATATATATATATATATATATATATATATATATATATATATATATACACGACGTCGACTTTTACCTAAAAACCGACGCCGTAAGTTAATTATTTTTTTTTTTTAAAAAATAATAAATATATACGGTTTCGGCTTTTACCTAAAAGCCGACGTCGTATGTAAATTATTTAAAAAAAATATATATATATATATATACACACATACGGCGTCGGCTTTTACCTAAAACCCGACGCCGTATATTACATACGATGTCGGTTGTTCAACCGACGTCGTATCATTTACTTACGACGTCTCTTAAGACGACGTCGAAAGATAACCAACGTTAAATGGGGTATTTTAACCGACGTTAAAATCGTTTTCTGTAGTAGTGCTTTTTGAAACAAGAAAGTCTAATTTGCTGCATTAAAATTTTCATTTTACTGCTGGGGAAGAATTAAATATGCAGATTCTAAAAGAAAGACGATTCATTGATGCTTTTGTATTCTTGATGTATTAGTTTCACTACATGCACACATGCCTACTATTAAATTAAAAACATCATAAACAATTGCCCACACACTCAATTACAATTGAAAACCAGGAGCTCCATAGTAGTTTATTAAACACAGTAAGAATATCTCAAAAAATCCACACAAACAAAAACATAGTAGGTTATTTGCTCGATTACCCCTGACAAAAGCATTTCAACTTTCAGTGGAAACATATCCACCCTTTTAATTTGGACAACTTTGTTCCCTTTATGGCACACACGGGTTTGTTTCTTTATGCACATAAGTAAGCACTACTACTGTACACAAAACCACATTTCAATTTTTAGAATTAGGATATCCTACTGCTCTTTGTCTGCTCAGCCAACGTAAAACCCCACCATCGTCTACCCACCCAACGTAAAACCCCTCATTTGGGTAAAACCCGATCGGCGCCATTTGCGGTTAAACCCTAGTCTGGGTGAACCCCACCGCTGTCTAGTGTCTACCCACCCAACGTGAAACCCCATAAAACATAAACAAGTTTCGGAACCCTATAGGCTATAGCTACTCACACCACCGTATGCGCCTGAACCCTAACAAAGTGTTTGGTTGGAGGGGGAAATTATGTGGAAAAGAAATTGCAATTACTGGGAATAAAGTGGGAATTTAAATCCAATGTTTTGTATACAAGAATAGAATTACTCAGAATTTCAATTCCAATGTTTGGTATACATAGAAATTGAAAAGAAATAAATAGTATAAAGTCCAAAATACCCATTGTTGTTGTGTTATTAATTGTAGATTAAAAAAAAAAAAGAAGGGATAATTTTGTCTCATCATTAACTTTTTTTCTTCCCAAAATCTCAGGGGGACATGTGATTTTAATTCCATGAAAATGGGGGAATTGCAATTCCTTCTAACCAAACTAAAGAATTTTATGGCCTTTGAATTAGGTGGGAAGGGAATTTAAGGAATTTAAATTCCCTCCAACCAAACGCCATGTAAGGTGTGTGGAGTTTGTGTTTAAGGTGCGTGGGTTGTGTGCTTGATGTGAGTAATTGTTAAAATTTAAGGTGCGTGAGTTTTGTGCTTAAGGTGCGTGTGTTTTGTGCTTAATGTGAGTAATTGCTGAAACTTAAGATGCATGATTTTCCTTCTTAAGGTGCGTTATTTTCCTTCTTAAGGTGCATGATTTGTATGCTTAATGTGCATCAGTTGTGTGAAACTTAGGGGGGTGGGGGTGTATTCAATCATGACTTTCATAGTGTTTTAAAGACTTTAAAAATGATTGATTTCAATAAACTTTTATTCACTTTCATAGAGTTGTTTAAAACTTTTTAAAACTTTATAAGACTATAAAAGTCTATATAAAAAACTTTTATCAACTTTTTATTTTAAAAAATCTACAAAAGTCATTGAAATTCTAAATTAAATACATCCTTACAAACTTTAAATGATTTCGATTATTATAATTTATAATTTTCTTACAAAACATGTTATAATATATAATAAAATTCTTTTTAATATATAGTTCTTCACCCACATCAACATTCTCAACATTATTATTTATATTCATAGTATGCTGAGACTTATATGCTAATTACTTATATATTATTAATAAGAATCAATAAAAGAAATATTTCATTAGAAATTCATAACAATATTGAACACTAAAATTTATAGTAAAAGAATTAATCAAATAAAATATTTAAAAATATAATTACAAGTTGCATAAACTAATATATATATATATATATATATATATATATATATATATATATATATATATATATATATATATATATATATATATATATATATATATATATATATATATATATATTGCTAGGCATCAGGCAAAGAACTATTATTTGGAATAATAGTAATTTGAGGCTGCGAACAACAAGGTGTTATTGTTTGCAGTCCCAAATTGTTGTTGTGAACCGTAATTCGCTATTCATAGTAATCTGTTGTTAAAAAAAATATTTACGAATATAAACATAAAAAAAGAATAAAAATAAAAAATAAACAAGCAATAGTGGAGTAAAAGTAATATTATTTTAAATTTTTAGAGAAAGATTGTAAAGTTTAGAAGAGAGAAAAAATTGGTAGAGTTTAGGTATGAAGAAAATATAGGATAATGAAGGAAAAAAATATTTTTATTGAATTAGATAGGTTTGTAAAGTTAGGGGAAAAATTAGAGTTTTAATAGAGAGAGAAAATATTCGAGTTGGTAGAAAGAAAATTTTGAAATCTTGGGCCGCGGTTGGTGGTTAGATTTCAACTATTTATATTTGAGAAGGAAAAGTCTACAAAAGTCTTAAAATTAAAAAATCTACAAAAGTTCTAACTATTTGAATACCACATGACTTTTAAAGACTCTTTAAAAGTCGTAATCGAATACCACCCGACTTTTAAAGACTCTTTAAAAGTCTTGATTGAATACCACCTGACTTTTAAAGAGTCCCTAAAAAGTTTGAATTGAATACCTACAAACTTTTAAAGTTCATAAAAATCTTTAAAACTCTATGAAAGTCATTATTGAATACACCCCCTTTAAGGTGAGCCATTTTCCTTCCTTTTCCCTTTCCTTTCCCCAGTGAATTGCAATTCATATGGGGAGGGTATGAATTGCAATTCGGTGGAACCAAACACTGTAATTCCGGTGGTCAAAGAATTAGGCTAACACTATAATTCCGAAAGAATTAGGTTGTAATTGAATTACAACTACATCCAACCAAACACCCCATAAAGGTTATATAGCTGAGCCTCAATCGTTATATCGTGCACCAGGACGCACATTTCATTATGCGCCCCGCCCTGCCCAAAATGACGTCGTTTTGTTAAGTTGTGTGGGGTGTTGACGTGATAGAGTGTATGTGTATTCTGTTATACAATTATGTACATTCTGTTATACAATTATGTACATTTTTTTTATACAATTATGTACATTCGAAACATGAGATTTTTTTATGAGTTAAGAGTTTATGTGTATTATGTTAAGAGTTTATGTGTATTATGTATTATGTTAGATTATATGTATTAACTTTTCAAAAAAGAGTATGTGTATTCTGTAATACAATTATATACATTTTGTTATACAATTATGTACATTCTATTATATAATTATGTACATTCTAAATATGAGAATTTATTTTTAAGAAGTTAACAACAGACACAGAAAATAAAATTTCTTTAAAAAAAAAAAGAGTACAAAACGACGTCGTTTTGCACCAGAGTGCACGATGGCTCTGTTTGGCAAACCTAGCTGAAAAGCTATAAGCTAGGAGCTTAAAGCTGAAAAGGAGCTGAAAACTGAAGAGCTGAAAACTGAAGAGCTGTTAAGCTAACTGTTATGATTGAAAGTGTTTGGTAAAATTAACTTTTTGATAAGGTGATAAATGTAAAAAGGCTAAAAAGGACATCTTCATAAAATTTAAATTAGTTTGTTTACATATTAAAATTTAACATTTTGTCTTTAAAAAATTTAACATTTTGAAATAAAACTATTAGCATAATCATGATCTAGCATCTCATAAAGAAGTAGCAATATTGTTGCAAATCTAATAATAATAATAATAATAATAATAATAATAATAATAATAATAATAATAATAATAATAATATTTGCAATGGAAGTTGCGGATAAAGGAGAAGAGAAAATGGTTTTAATGGGGAAGAGTAAATTATGTCATTCTTTAAAATAATAAGGATAAAGATAAAAAAAAAAGTTAAAAAGTTAAGAGCTTATTTTGGGAACATTATTAAACAGAGCTTATAGCTTATAATAAGCTATAAGCTCTGCAAAATATAGCCGATATAAATTGCCAGCCGAGCCCAATCTGGCCCAAAATGCAGATTAAAATTCAAGATTTAAAAACATTTCTCGCGCCAGGTAGGGGTCGAACCTACGGCCTTCTGCTTAGGAAACAGACGCTCTATCCACTGAGCTACAGGCGCTATTGGTTGACATTTTTATTTCATTATTTATATCCTTCTACACAACTAACACAAGGCGCTCATTACCTCACTTTCAATTTTCAAATCCTCTCGCGAAGCCAGACGACGGAGGCAGAAATGGAAGCATCGATCGGAAAATTCAGCAAGACCGTCGCCGCTTTCTGCAACCACCTACAGACGAGCAGCGACGCCCTCAAGCAGTCTGTTGACCGCCGCCCGATCCCCCTCGGTACCATTTCTTCCTAAATTCAACCATAATTAGCACAACGTCTTTTCTTCTAAAAAGTGATTCATTGTACGTATATGTGCATTAGATTCTGCGTCGACGACGTTCGTGCAATGCCTGAACCGGCGAGTGTCGTCGGCAAGCAGCGATCTCAACTTGTTGGAATCTATGTCCTTCGGAACGGTGTCGTTTGAGGAGCTCCTCGGCCACTGCAATGAAGTCTACAAGAAGAACCAAAATGACCTCCTGTCTCTCCAGGATCATCTCCGCTCCTCGGGCTACATCTCCTCCAGTTGTTATACTTTATACTATTGTTATTGTTATTGTTATATCATTGCAATTTGAAAATTTTCTTTGTTCTTAATATTACCTTTTGTTTTTTCAAATTTTCTATCATATGAGATGTATTAGTCGATATTGATTATGACGATGAAGAAGGGGAAAGTGAAGTCGTAATGGATGATGTCTCTTCAAACAACAGCATTGATTTTACAAGGAAAATTGAAGACGATCCTCTGTATCCTTTCATTCTAGAAAATTGGCGTGTAAATGTGTGATGTAAGTTATCAAATTGCATGTGCCTTAGCTTGTTATTAAAATTCTGGAAAAGCGGAATTTAGTTTGCTCATGAATGTGTATCAGCATATCTTGCCTTGTATGAGAGTTATTTGTGTTACTATAAAATACTGTGCTGGCTGCATTAGTTTAAAATCTAATACTGAATGTTACTGGATTTCTATTTTGTGCTCTTTGACACCTTTAGGCTAGATGATGATTCACTGAATTTAAAAAATCTTGGACTTTCGGATGCCTGTCTAGCTACTCTTGCACCTGAAGGTAAGTAGATAAACTCACTTCTGATGTTTGCTATATAAAAAATTTTCTGTTTGGATACTTTAGTAGTCCTCCTTTTATTATGATTTGCAGCTAATAGTATGGTCGATGAGGAGCCATTTCAATCTGTGACAAAGATATTGGATTTTGCTGAAGGTCTAAGATTTGTTGCTTTCTGTTAAGATGATTTCTTGGTGATAGTGCATACATTGACTTACCAATGTTGTAATTTTGCCTAATGTAGATGAGATGGACAGTTCATTGATGTCATTTGAAGACTCTACGGCCTTATTATGTGTGTCACTAGATGATTATGAGATCCTTCCTAAGCATATGAAGAGTTTAGCATCATGGGAGGTAAAATGCTTACAGAGTATTATTTTGTTTACTGTTGTTATTAGTTAAGGTAGTTAAACAAAGATCATATTTGGATTCAATTCCAGATGATGATTAATAGTGCAATATATGCTTCTTCTTTATGAAGCTGAAATGGCTTCTTTTCTGTAAGCAAAGGTTTGGCAAAATAGTGAACATTTCAGATAAAACTATAAAAAACATCTAATGCATATGAGGACTAAGACATGCTATGATTGTGAGTTATGCCAGGGAAATATTTGATCTCTGTTTGGACTAGATTCCAGGATTCATATAAGCCTTGCCACTATAGTAAATATATGTGCATTCACTATTCATTTGTTCAAAATGCTTATAACAGATGTCTCCGAGGGGATCTTTAACCTTGTATGTGACTACTAATGCTCTTATTTATGTTTCCAATTGAAGTGGAATAGTGTATTTATGTCCTATTTTATATTTTACACATTCTCTACCAAGAGTCATGTAAACAGAAAATGCTTCTTTTGTTTCTAAGTGTAAATGTCTAATACCTCTTACAGGACTTGCTTGCTGCTGTTGAGAAGATTAATCTATGTCTTAGAACAAAAAAGACTAAACCATGTGCCTTCCAACTGGATGAAATTGAATCATTAGGATTGGGTATGTCTTTTCATTTCATTCTAGACTTGATTCTACTTTTGGTTCATATAGTATATTGGCAATTCTAGATTTAGTTCTCGACTTTCAATTTTGACATATGTGATCCCATGAGTTTCATAGTTGTTCTAGTCCTGGCCTTCCTGTCAAAATTTTGTCAAATTTGGATGGAGAAATGGCACTGTCCTAGCATGTACCAAAAAGTGGGGGGCAGTCCGCAATTTAGACATTTCTTGGACTTCATCCTTTCCCCACATTTTATATAAAAACATAAAACAAAATTGCATTCCATGAGTTCAAGAACAATAGTGAGTAGCTATGTTTCTCGATCTGACTATGGCCACAAGGACTGATTGCCAAATGAAAAAAAAAAAAAAAAAAAGTCTTTGGCCATTGCCCATTGTTCCTGGCTGGCCCTGTGGCCACTGGGAATGATGACTGGACCTCTTGCCATTGTTTCCAATGGCCACAAGACTGACCATAGTTTCTGGAAGTGATGGCAAGCAGTGACCATTGCCTGCAATTTTTTTTTTCAATAAATAAAAGTATTGGGATGGGGTGAAGTCATTGAAATGTCCAAATTGCTTCCATTCTCCATCCAAATTTGACAGAATTTAACTGGAAGGATTAATATTTGAAGTTTTGAACAATTTTGGGACTTGTGGGATGAAATGTGTCAATTGAAAGTTGAGAACTAAATCTAAAATTATCAATATACTTGAAAGATCATAAGTGAAATTGGCACTAAGCTGAATTTTGTCATTACCTCTTGAGTGTTTACATGATATTCTGTTCCGCAAAACGCCTACTAAGGCTGCTACTATTGCCGTTGTACTGAATTTTGTTTCTGTTAAATAGTAAATGCTATGCATATTAATTTACAGAATGCATGTCCAAATTTAGCTTCCATTGAAAGGGTATCTGACATTTCTCCATATAAAGAAAGACGCAAATTTGAACATGAGCATTGTTTTGCTGCTTTCTCATTGCAGGGCATAAAGCAAGATCTTACCTACTGCTGCTCATTAAAATGAATCGGGTGGTTGTTGAGACTGCAGGAGGTTTGATTTCCTATAGAATTTTATAGTCATTCTGTACTGTAGACTGTAGCACTCGCAGATAACCCCATTCTGCATTCCAGTTATGAGTCCTGTTCTTTTCCACCCTTTTCAAGCTATTGTAAGGCTCTTATGTTTTCATTGAACTCTCTTGTGCAATTAAATGTCTACTTGCATGAAAAAAGTGTCATTTTCTTCGTTTTATTTGCTCCCTTGTTTATGCTAGATTTCTACGGGTCACATTAATACCAATTTGTAAATTCTGTAGGGATAAATATTTGCTTCCTAAGTTCCAATAATTCACACCCAAAGTCAAAGAAATTCAAGGGAAATATATAAAGATAAAAGAGCTCATTAGAACATAGATACTTGTAGCCTATTACATTGCAAAGTTCAATTGCAGGAAATGAAATGAAATGAAAGTTAAGAACTCGATAGAGTTCCTTTTTGTATTCCCCTTCTCAGGCTCCCCATCCCCTAAGAAGTGTAGCCCGGGCTACACGGTTAACTCCTAAGGTGAATGCACCCATACGAAGATCACAGTTGTGGGTGCTGCACATATCCTTCACATCTTTAAAACCTCTGGTCATATATTTATGAAGTTCTGCATTCACTTTCTCCTCATCCCACATAAACCCTTGAATGTTCTACAAGAAATGGAAGATTAAACATATTCAATAATATAATTTAGGATAGTAAGTTGTCTACTGGTGAGTGAAGGCAACAAATTAAAGGTAATTACCTGAACCCACTCAAAATAGCTGACAGTAACTCCACCTGAGTTTGCATAGATGTCTGGTAGAATCACAACTCCTTTCTTTGCTAAAATCTGCAGAATACATTACACTTTATCTTCATTTATCAATGGGTTTGAAATTCTGATTACACCTTGATCCTACACTAACCTCATCAGCTTCAGGATCAGTTGGATGGTTAGCGGCCTCAACAATGAATTTCGCTTTGATGTCATTTGCATTATCCCTTCAATCAAATTCAGATCAGAGAATCAGAACCTTGGGATCATTTCTTGGAAATATGGTTTTTCTAACTGTTATATCTGTATATTGTGAGAATAACCTGTTAATGACACCTCCCAGGGCAGCTGGAATTAGAATGTCGCAGTCTTCAACCAGAATGGAGTTCGGATCCACTGCATCCCCACCATGGAAACCTTTCACACCATTATTCTCCTTCACATGTTTCATTAGGCCAGGGATGTCTAGTCCTTTCTCACTCTTTATCGCACCAGTGACATCACTAACAGCGACGACTTTCCCACCTCGCTGACTGATGAGCAGAGCAGCCCAGGAACCAACATTTCCAAATCCCTGAGGTGACAAGAACATCATATCCCTGAAATCATAACTTAGCTGCATTATATTATGTATATTAATGATGCAAACCAACCTGAATAACAAAGCGCTGCCCAGCAATGCTCTTCCCGTACTCTTTAAGCAGTGCTTCAGTTGCGTAGAGAACTCCCCTTCCTGTTGCTGCATACCTGCCTAGAGATCCACCGAGGTCCTGTATGTTTTCAAGAAAACAAGTTAAAAGAGGCATGTTAATTACCTTTTCTCTAATTAATAGTTCAGAATCAAGATTCAACTTGTTTTCCCCTCTTCTTCTGTGCACTTACAATAGGTTTTCCTGTAACTGTAGCAGGTGAATAGCCATGAAATTTTGAGTACTCGTCGAGAATCCATGCCATTGTCTGCGGACCTGTTCCCATATCAGGAGCCGGGACATCTATCTGGACGCCAATCAGATCATGGATTTTCTGAGTAAAAACGCGAGTAAGTCGTTCCAGCTCAGAGACACTCAGCTCGCTTGGATTGCATCCTATCCCTCCTTTAGCCCCACCATATGGTATGTTAGCCACTGCTGTTTTCCATGTCATTAGTTGTGCTAATGCATTCACTTCATCCGGATCAACCTGCATCATCAACAACCCTTTTTCTTACCATAAATAAACTAACAAACATGATTTAGGAACAGAATATATATATCTATATATCTTGATTTCATCTCAAGAACTGAACTGATCTGAGAATCTGATGAATCTACTACATACCTCCGGGTGGTATCTGATTCCACCTTTCATGGGGCCTCTAGCATTATCATGTTGAACTCGAAACCCGACAAAGGACACCAAGGAGCCATCATCTTTAGGTATTGTACACTCAACCTGAAATTTTTGTTCAAACAAGTCAGAGAAACAGAATAGTATGAAAGCAGGAAAAGCAGGAATTTAACCTTGATTTCGCGAAATGGGATGAGCAAACTCCTCTCGAGTTTTGAATCCAAGCCTAGGAGCCGAGCTGCCAGCCTAAAGTTTCTGTTGGTAGCAGCTAAAGCATTCATGGTTATTCACAGCAGAAAACCTGAAGAAAGATTAAAACAGTAACGGAGATATCAGAAAACAATGTAGTAGTAGTCAATCCTATCTCTCTCGTAATTCTTGGAGCAGATATGGAAGTAATTGTGTGTATTTATAGCGTTGGAACTTAGAATTGTAGGAGCGTTCCTAATTTCCTATATGGATTAACTTGTATTTAATTATTATATATCAAAACATTTTTAATTATTAGATACATTATTAATTGCATGTTCCCAAACAATTTATATATATTAATCACACATACGGTATAATTAGTGTAAATCTCCTAAATTAACAAAGAATGCTTAGATTTGAGAGGTTTTGAATTATAACTTTTCGTGATTTTTGATATACAGAAACAAAAAGTAGAAGCCTTATCTGTGGAAGGATTGCGTCTACTATATAATCACATAATTATAAAATTGAAAATGCCATTTTTTAAAATTATTAATAAAATCATTAGGTGAATTTTTTAACGATGTCATGATATTTGTTAGTTAATAATAGTGTGTATGTGTGCGAGCAGTGATAGAATCAGAAAGTTTCATTAAGGCGGTTAATGTAATATATTGTAACGGTGTAAATATTTTGCAGATAAACGTTTCGCAACAAGCAAAATTCTAAAAAAAATAGATAATTAACAAATAAATGATGATAAAATATTTATACAAATTATAAAAACGTTACATTTATTTCTGTACTTATAAGAATTCTATTAAACAAAAATAATCAGAATTAAAAATTATAAGAAATTGTTTTAGAAAATATGTTAAAAAAAAGGTGTTGAATTGACCACCAAATACTAAAGAGGACATATAAAATGAGAAATAAGGAGTAATAAATATGTTTAGAAAAGTATATATTTTGTTAATTAGAAATAAAGGAGTTTTTTAATAAAATACAAATTTGTTAATATTAACTTTGTTTTTTAATGATGTGGCATCTTCTCTTTCACCACCGCTGGTGTATAGCATCTATATATAGGCAGTGCATCAAATATTAATCCTAATTATTAAAGGTTTAATTTGGCTCTCAATATTCTGAGTCGTATAAATATTTTTTTATTACTACGTATTAATTGTATTCTACATACATGAATATATTAATTACTTTTATATATGGCCATATAGTATTATAGTAATCTTTACAGATATGTATAGCTATATTTGCCATGTCAATATGACAATGAAATTGACAAGAGTTCATTATTTCACTACGTCATCAGCCTGTAATCTTTTCGTTGAAAGATAAACATGATCAAAATCGAGGAAATCTAAACTATTAATTACTCATATCTTTTAAACATTAGAAAAAAATTGTATTTTTGTTCCTAAATTATAAGATAATAACAAATTCAATTCTAATATTATAAGTATTGTCACTTTTATTTTTTGAGGTTTTAGTAAAGTGACACACTTGATCCTTCTTTAATGGATTTGTTAAAATTTATCATTTATCTTGAAAACTCCTAATTAACCAATGTTAATAATGAAATTTTATATTTTATATTTCTATTTTTATGCAAATCATATTAAAAATCCACAGGTTACTGGCTAAAAATGAAAAAAATAAAAAAGTGTCAAATAAATCATTGAACTTGTTAAGTTTGTACAATGTAATAGAGTTAGTAGCATTCAAAAAAAAAATTTGAACTAAAAATATAGAGTTAATACCTCCAATAGTCCTCCGAGTATTAGGGATTTACCAGCTGTGGTCATCCGAGTGTTAAATGACCTCCAATGGCCCTCCATGTTTTAAAAATAACCACTAGTGGTCCTTTTAGGACGTCTCGTGGTCATTTTAAACTTAGGTTATTTTAAGAATTAGGACCACATGTAGTTATTTTTTAAAACATGGAGGACCATTGGAAGTCATTTAAAACTCAGAGGACCACAGCTGGTAAACTCCTTATACTCGAAGGACCATTGGAGGTATTAACTCAAAAATATAAGGAAAATAACACTTTTCCTCCTCTGAGTTATATACTTATAGCACTTCCCCCCCCCCCCCCCCCTCCCCCCCCCTAAAAAGTTAAATGAACATATTTACTCTTAAAATAAATATTTTATTTATTTTTCTTCTCCAACAAATTATGACCACAATTTGGTTCAAACAAAACAGACATTATAGCAACCAAATTGAAATATTCCAATTACAATTTAGAATCGAAACTCGATATTTATAGTTTATTAAAATCGCAAATCGGAACGGCCGGTTCATGTTCCGAACTGAAAAAAAATACATTTATTGTTGAATTTAGACTATTTTAAAATTAAAAATAAAATTTTAAAATAAAGACGGTTCTAAATCGCGAACCAGATCCGAAACCGTTGGTTCACGGTTCATGATCCAATTTTTTCGATTCATAATTTTAATAAACTGAAATCCAAATATTGGGTTCTGAATCTGAATCATAGCATAAAACTTTTAATTCGATTGCTATAGTGTCTGGTTCAGTTCGAATCGAACCATGGTCATCTCTACGTATACGAAATAATTTGTTGGAGAAGAAAAATAAATAAAATGTTTACTTTAAGGGTAGAAATGTCAATTTAATATATCAAGGGGGAAACCCGCCACTTTTAGAATAATTGAGGGGGCTAATGTACTTACATGAATAATTCAATGAAAAAAAATGCTATAAATATATAACTCAGGAAAAAAAAGGTGCTATTTTCTCAAAAATATGTCAATTAAATCATCGAACAAAAAAAGTATAATTTACATTTTTTACAGGTTCCCAATGAGTTTCTAGGTACTAATCATGGTTGCAGTAGGCGCTAGGCGCTAGTCGGGCGCCCG